ATACACATCTAGATGTGTATAAGAGACAGTTCAAAGATAGAGGAGAGAAAAGGAGATAGAAAGGGACGAGATCCAAAAAGAGGATGTTCGGCGTTGCCGCTGCACACTCATACCAGAGATAAAGATTCACAACCACAAAGGCGCTTTCGCCGTTAACTCCAATATGGCCCCGGGCCAATCACTCACTCAACTCGGATCATTCATCCCCATACCTGCACCGACGGTCCCGGTCGTCGCGTGCCAACTCCCACCACTGCGATCGTCACCCCGCTGACGTAAACTCGACACGGCTCGCCCGGATTCCACAGTCCGTCATGGCGATCCAGCGCGCAACCGATCAGACTATCGTTAGCCCGACAGGACTTTCCGACTCGCACCAAACACTCTGCCTAGCCACTGCTTCCCGGAAGCTGGCTTGAGAGTCGAGAACGTAAGAGAGATTTGCGGACGCGCTTGCGGATTTTATAGTTGCAACAGGGGAGACGAATGGGAAAAAAAACGAAGGGAAGGTTGGGGTGTAAGAGGAGAAGCAGGAGGAGAAGACTTTGAGAGGAGTGCTCCGTGGAAGCCATGTTGATCCCTCGAGTCTCAAGGTTCAACCAATCAGATTCGTCGCGCCATAGGAAGATCCTATTGATCCACGCACCTGATTGGTGAGCGGGAGCTATCGAAGGATCGACCAAGCGTCGTGCGCTAGATCAGAGGGTGAGAAGGGAAAAGGCACGAGAAGTGGCGCAAGACGGGTCCAAGATTCAGAGGATCAAGAAAAGGAAATGAGAGCGCGCAAAAAGCAAAGCGGGAAAGAGAGAGAGAGAAAAAAACAGTTACGAGGAGAGAGAAAGAGGAGGGAGAAGGGAAGGGAGCGAGGGAGGGAGCGATGCGGGGTACAGAGAGGAAAAGGTTTTTGCATGCGCGGCGCCGTCAACAAAAAGAGGGAAAAAGGCACCGAAACAGTTACAGTTTGCCTCTATCCTAATTCAAAATTGAAATCACCATATCCGCGCGCAAAAAAGCGACGCGGGAAAAGAAAAGCCTACGCCTATTCGTCTTCGAACAAAATTCCAAGAGTTTTCCCCAACGCGACCGAGAACATTTACACACAAAAAGGACACGTCGAAGTTCCGCTTATCCTGGGATTTCCAACTGCCGGGACCAATTCCCAATGCGCTCGCTAAGGCGCACGTAAATTCCCATATATTTCCCGACTTGCAAAAAGAAAACAGAATCCGAGAATCGTAAAAGCTTCCGAAAGATGGGAGCCGAAAACGCAGCACCTGAAATCAAGAAAACGAAACGGGGTTTTTATGGGGTTGGTATAATACAAGCAAAAAAGGGTACGAAGATAGTACGGGTTCGGGAAGTGGTTCGCCACATATGTGACGCGCAGGGGGTTCCAAAATTATGCGATCTCGTGATTGCATGTCATGGTGGAGAAGGAGAGAGAGAGGGAGAGAAGAGAGTGATGCATGAGGAACCAAGCGCATCAACAAATGATCCGGCCAGAGTCCACGTTCACGCCAACTTCAATTGCAATCTTCCGTTGGCTCGTGCTGCCAGAATTCTCGATGGTCATCCAGGTGACGCCATCATCGTCCGCCGGTTTTCCGTGTGCTCTGCACCCCAGGTTGTCATCGCTCGTCGAACCATAGTGTAGGTTGACGTCATCGTTGATGGCGTGATCTTCGCAAAGCTTACTGATTCGTGCCGTTTTCCCCTGGCGATTAGATGGAGAGAGGAGGGGGAAGGGGGAATAGTGATGTGACCGGGATCTACCTCCTAGTTGGGATGGGCCAATAGAGGCGGTACATGGAGGGGATCTCACGGGGACGACGGGGAGGAAGCGGGGGTAGGTAACGATTCATCCCTTCCATCGTCACCGGAAGCTCCTCATATCGGATGATTCGGTGGAAGTGAGGGAAGTGATCGTCGCTGCGAGGGAGGGAGGCGAGGTAGTCGCGATAGAAGGAGGAGAGGGTGCGGAAAAGCACCGCTCGAAAGAACTCGTAGTGGTGACAGGCAGGGATTGTCCCCGTGGCTACGCTGTAGACTTCGACCATGTTGCATCGTTCCCATGTAGCGCTGAACAGAAGGATATGCCAGCAGAACGTGGGGGCAGCAGGCTGAAGGGATGCGTGGGGGTGGACGGTAGCGAGTAGGCGAGTAGAGTAGAAGTCGCAGAAGAGATGGGGGAGGAAGGGATGGGGGGGGAAGGTGACTGGGGTGCGGATCTGTTCGAGGGTGAGAAAATCAAGGGGTCGGCGGAATAGCGTCCGAGGACGAAGGCCTATCGCCCTCATCGGTACGTGGGCGAACTGGGGTACGGGTGGGGCTGGAGGAGGAGGGGGATCGGCTCCGTCTTCGTCGCGTGGCACTTGAGGTGGAGGCTGCAAGGTCGCCATCTTCGGGCTTTGGCAGCTCCGGATCTCTGGTCGGATCGTTACCAATGCGCAGGCCGGCTCCGCTGGCAAACTCCAGTTGGTGCTTCCCAGTGGCAATTTCTTCGCGCTTTCGCGCTATTTCCGGATCTTCCGCCTGCGTTCCCGTGCGCGTCGCTTCCTTCGCCAAGGCTTCCCACTCAGATCCGGTTTCTTCTCCCTCCTCTTCTTCTTCACTCAGCTCTCCCTCACTATATTCGCTATAGCTTCCCTCCTCTGAAGTTTCCTCATCTTCATCCTCTTCGTCGTCGTCGTCGTCGATCGTTACTTCCTCCGCCCTCGGATAGAAGGCGTGAGGGATGATATCGTACGGCTTCAGATATTCCTGCCGCGACGACAGCGTATCTTCGTCCCTGGGCTCCTCCAAGCACGCAGTAAACTGAAGGTACGGATCCAATGACTGCTCGAGAACGTGCGGAGCTGGACTGTCGTCACTCTGCGAATAGATGTCGGGCAAGAGATCGTACGCTAATTGCACGATCAGCGCGATGAGCTCCTGCGCAATCAACTGGCGGCGCCCCGGCTGTACCGATCCAAAGAGAAAGCCAAAAAGATC